ATCTTCCTGCCCACGAAATTGCCACCATCTTTCTCTTACCTCTTGGTCACCCTTGGCCCTTCTAAGCCCCACACCCATTGCCCACCCACTTCCCCCAAAGGTCTAGGATGGGCCCCAGAGTCTAGAAACTCTGCCACCTGGGAAGATGATAAGCCCAATGGTAGCAAACGCTAAATGTCAATGGAAACCACATGAACAACCTCGACTCCTAAAGCCAGAACTTTCCCCAAGTAGCACAACAGGACCCTGAAGGGACCCTCAGGGGTCAGTCTATTCTCATACCTCCGGTGACATCTCCTTATAGCCTTTCTTGGCTCCCACACACCCACAACACCCTCTGGTATTCCTGTCCTGTCTCCACTCCTTTCCCAGACCAAACATCGCCGTTGGCTCTACCGGAAGCCCAAACTCATCCATTTTGCTGACAGATTATTCATACTGAGTTTAGCCCCTTTGTAAGGATTCAGGCATCATGCTGGTCTGCCCCAGTCACCTGTCAGAATGCACTCAGGCAGTACCCTGGTCAGCCCAGGGTTCCATGTCCACTAGTCGGCACCAGGTGCAAAGGACCCCTTTAAAACAAAGACGTCTGTCCACTTACCATCTCTTTCCTGCTCCTCTCCTTCCCGCTGCTCCCCTGGGGCTGACAGAACTTTTCCTGTCTCCCTCTTCTCTTCCATCCTTTCTCTGTCTCTTTACCTCTTTTCTCTTTCCTCCCCCCCCCCTTTCTAATAAAACTGCTCGCCAAGCTCTGTCTGCCTGGCGTGTTTGTCCCCTACCTCAGTCACCCTCGCCTGCCACGGAATCTGCCAAGTTTCCCCAGCGTTATTCCTAACACCCTTTGTTCTCCTGTCTTTGATACCGTTCAGCTTAACGTCCACCATCAACTACAACTGAGGAATTTAACCGCCAGATGCACCATTTATTTCCTTGTCCTTTCTCCAAGCTACCATGCTCACGGTGCAGCCCAGGACCTTCGTCTTCTCTGGTTCTGACTCCCAGGATACAATGCCAGGCAACTCCACTCTCCTTTAATGAACACGTCCTTTCTAAGGGTTCCCACACACCCATGCTCACTGGACTCCAGGCAGGGAATTCAGAGAACTTGTAGACATCTGGGAAGACATTCCTAGTCAGTCACGCGTGAGAAAACACTCCATGGCCACATCTCATTTGTGTCGGTCACAAAACATCCAAAACATCAGTGGTGACCTTGGGATATCACTTACTGGACCTCCACTTTTATGTATGAACACATTAGTGTGACAGAGACTCAGAGCTTTACTGAGCCTGAGGATCCCCAAGGTGTGCCTTGTGTCTGTCTGAAACCTTCAAACTTGTGGAATACGCACCGATCATCGGTAGCTGATTAGTGCCTGAGCACTCAGTTGGGTTTTCACCAGAATAAAGTGTCCACGGCATGCCGGTCACTCACCTAGGAACTGTGCATGCCATTATTACCTGAGCACAATGCCCTGCTGCAGCCTCCTGGAGTCAATGCTCAGGTACACGCAAACATTAAGAATTCAGCATAAACATGATCAAATATATTTTATAAAAATTTTAATATAAAAAAGAAATATAAGCAAGCGTGTGTAAAGAAAATAATTCCGTATAAGGATCTCAGCATAAAGTTCTGATTTTCAGCAAATCTGGACCCCTGGCTGGGCTTCAAATTACCTTCAGCTCAGCTCTTTCAAGCAATGTTTGTCACTGACATTTCCATGGAAGTGACCAAAATGAGACTGTCAGTTGAAAGTAATTCCCTGCCCACAAAGCAGGGCTAAAAACGTTGCGTGGACTGCCTCTCTTTGAGTCAGCTGTCAGATGCCAGAGTTATTCTGGGAGTGGAAGCCGGAGGCACAGCCCAGTAGAAATACTCCAGGGTGTCCTGTTGGCTTGGCACAGCAGTGTACGCTGTACACAACAGCAAGCCACAGCAGAGCTGTCTGCAGCGCCTTCTCCTCGGATGTTAGCGTAAGGAGTAGCGATTAGAAAGTGTTAGGAAATGCCCTCGTGGACCAGATTCAGTCTTTACTTCTCTCATTAACATTGTGCACACGTGATAGCTTCAAAGCGGTGTCTTGTGTTATCTGGCAGGGATATTTTAGCATCAGGAAAGTCCTCACAGGCAACCATAACAGAGCCATTTGAACACAGTGCCCTGCAGGATGTGGCCTCTGGCTCCTTCTCTCACTCCAGATATTCTCATTCACACATATTTTATTCACTCATTCTCATATCCGTTCTCTCCCTCCCCTCCCTCCCTCCATCCCTCCCCCTCCCTCCCTCTCCCTCCTCCTTCCCTCTTTGCACGCTAACGTGAAAATGAGGAAGGACACACCACATGGATCTAATGGCCCAAGAACTCGGCATCTGGTTCCTATGGAGGCTGCATAAGCGAACTGTAAACCAAGATGAGCATTTTGAAGTTTCAGAATGAGGGCAGACTTCTTCAGACCCAGGCTCATTATCTTACCGACCAGATCACCTGCACTTCCGGGCTTCCAAAAATATCAACAATTCTCTGAAAACTATGATGCAAAGCAAACACGTGTGGTGAGTGAAGTTTTCTTGAAGGTGACACTTTGTTCCCATTTTAAGCGAAGACTCCCAAGAAAACAACTAGCTCACGCTTTGCTGTGATGTGAATGTTTCACTGTGATTTGAAAATGTATTAAGACGTACAGAAAGTCCAAACAGTGGCCATGCCAGAGAGAAAAAAGTTCCCATAGAATTCAGCAGTGAAAACATCTCTCTCCCATCTTGCAACAAGAGCTCCCAGAGCACAAACCCATATATCTTCCTTGAACTCCAGAAGCATCAATATGGAAACCAGTGCTAGGAATTACCCAAGCTGCTTTCACCTTGACACTGCTCATGGAAGGCAATGTTGTTGCCTGAAGGTTTTCTGGTGAATGGCCCCGCACCAGGCTCCAGGGAAGTTCAGGACCAAGGGTCTGTTAGCTGGCTTCTGCTGTAGCCCTGGGTCCTCACTTGGATGCCCAGCACCTACTCTTCTCCTTGTGTTTATCAAGGTGTGCCACCCGGGGAAGGCAGGCAGTGACCTTCTCATGCAACTGCCTTTCTCACCACAGGAGGACACTGTGTCCCAGAGCAGTTTTCTGCTCCAGCTTATACCATCGTCAAAAAGGATGCTCAGTTTCCCAACATGCATGATGCTTAGCTAGTCTTGTATTTCCAGAGCCATGAATGGGACTGGATGGGAAAGGACTCTTTCATGAATCCTCGGGATCAAATAGCTTACAGTGGGATCCCCAACCCCAAATGATGTATCTGTAGTGTAACCCAACACCTAAGAGAAAATTGTGGGAGGAGGGGCAGAAAGATTGTCAGAGCCAAAGGCTCAGATTGCCTGCTGTTAGAGCATTCCCTAGACATGACCTAGAAAATGTACCCATGAACTCTCAACAGTATAGCTGCCTGAACAAGACTGGCATAATAACACCGGCAGACGTGCCAATGTGGACAGAAGAATTCCATGTGACCCCACCCCAAGCGGAAGAGTTACAGGTGGTCAATGGCTGCTGAGGGAGAGAGGGTTCGTTTCCCATAGGGACAAGCTTCCTCACTGGATGTCCAATCCCTGATGCTCAGCCCAGGACATGTGTACACATGAGCAATGCTAAATGGACTCAGTAGGATATATATATATATATATATATACACATATATATATACATATATACATATAAACACACACATATATGTACACACACACACACACACACATTAAAAAGGAACAGAAGGAAGGAAGGATCAATCCTTGGGCTCTCTCTAGCATGACTCTCCTGCCTCTCAACTGCCCCAGGTAAATGCTTTAGCTGAAATGCCAGCATAGCTCTGGGACTTAAAGAACTAAAACCCAAGGACATGGAGAGATCAAGGCTTGGGGAGTGGATCTGGGCTATGGCGCAGGAACAAGGGATCTAGACTAGCTGAGGGGTCAGAAACCATAGCAAATATCCTCAAATTTATGCTCTTTTATAGTTTGCAACATACAGACCAAAAATCATTTTTCTTTCCCATGCTGCATTGTGACAGATACACCATGCAGTCCTCTGTGAGAGTTTCATCCTCAAACTCTAATATTCTTTACAATCTTATTCCCTTAAACTTTTTAGTATCAGAATAAAGGTGGCAAGTCCAGTTTGGGGCACAGTATGTCTGAATTTTGAGCACAGAGGTTTTGACCGTGGGTGGGAAATACGCAGGAAAGAATCGGGAGAGCCCAGGCTGACAGACAGTGCTGGTAATGGATGCGATCAATTCTGGAACCTCTCTGACTTCATCTTGTCAGTTATAGATGGCAGTGATTGTCTTCCATCTAACCATCATGTTCCAAACCCCATCCTGGCCTAGCAATCAAAAGCATCACTTTCTATAATCCACAGAAAATGAGTCCCTTCATGATAAAGCAGTATTTGAAAACTTGTGGTTTGCACAGGTCTAATTCGATTCAGTTGGTTGGCCCTGAAAGAAAACCTTTAAAATACAGTTCTGTTCAAAAAGTAATGAATACATAGGAAACCAGAATCCAGTATTATATTTTAGCTATTTCTTAATAAACCATTAAATTTACCAATAAATATTAAAATGACTTATTTTAATTCATTATTAAATTTATCAATAAACATGATATATTTTAATACATTAATCAGGCTTCTAGACAAAGGTACCAAAAGGTTTTAGCTGAGAGACTAGCTAGAGGTAGGAGCCACAGCTCCATTACTCCAAATGCCTCATGCTCAACCCAATACTGATAACATGAACATTCGTTAGATAAATGGACAGAAAGGGATGACTATTTTCTAACCACTTCCAAATTCAATTTCAAATTGAATAGTCAAAGAACCTATTTTAAATATTCAAATATTTCATCTGATGAATGAGGCACATTGATATCTTAAAGCTTCTTTCTAGGAGCATCTGAAGCATCCCTGCCTACCAGGAACAAACACATCATGCACACTGCTCACCTGCCATGTCGATGGCAAACGGCCTGTCTTCTCTCCACCCGGTGTACCAGCCAACGACTTTGCCATTCTTCACCAACGGACGCTCATAGCGTCGCCCGCCAACCAGACCCACAGGCCAGACAGAAACCTTGCGGGTGGTTCTCATCTATGAAAGGGGAAAGAGATGTGTCTGAGTTTTGTTAATGTGTAGTGATCTATGTGGCAGGAATGGAGTTACTATGGTTTCACATTTTTAAGGTTTCCAAATAGAATCTCCTATCCCAGTTTTTTGACATTTGGCCCAGGGATTTTAAGAGAAAATAAATTTGCTGGATATAGAGGTGTATGCCTTTAGTTCCAGCACTTGGGAGGCAGGTACTGGTGGATCTCTGTGAGTTTGAGGCCAGCCAGAGATACATAGACCCCGTCTAGAAAAAAAGGAAGAAGCTATAAATTAGGTGTCAGTACCCAAATATCACTTATTTGAAGTCTGCATGTGATAATGAAATGTTTTCCATTTGTCTCAAAATCAAATGTTTTAAGATATAACTTCTTGTCTTCTAAAATGAGTCACTTTAGTCCCAGAAAACTTTATGATTCGGTAAGTGATGTCACTCAGAATGACTTTCTCCAAACTTTTCATTTCTGTAGACACATACCTTGTCTACGAGGTAGAGGCAGGCAGATCTCTGTGAGTTCAAGGTAAGCCTGGTCTAAGTGGAGAGTTCCAGGGCAACATAGTGAGACCATGTCTTAAAAAAAGAGAAAAAGAAAAAGAAAAAGAAAAAAGATTACAGAACAAAGAAAATGTTAAAGCCTCCAAGAAAAAAGTGCTAACTCACTTACAGAGGCAAATTCATCTTGATAACAATAGATCTCTCTTCAGAAACCCTAACTGCTCCAGAAGCATCTGTGATATAGTTCAAGCCTTGAAAGTAGACATCCCTGACAAGATTGTCTTTTAAAATTGATAAGGGAATAAAGACCTTCCAAGGCAAGCACAAACTAAGAAATAAAACTAAGGTGGCAACCCTCTGAAGAATCACCTTAGAGGAATTGTGCACAGGGGGAATAAGATACAAACATGAGCACGGGGAAGAATAAATTTCGTGAGAACAAGAGAAATAAATAAAATCTTGGAACAAATTAATCATAATTTCAGCAGATCAGAAAAACTTTATGATAGTTAGTGGAAAATGAACAAACTATATTTGAACCAATTAGAACTATTAATACAAGAATCATCACTAGCCTGCTTAGTGACAGCCTAATGTAAATACATTTAACTTTTCCCCTTAAAAAATGAAGATTAGTTGGCTGATCAAAAAAAAAAAACCAAAAACCAAAAAAAAAAGGAAACAAAAACAAAAACATCAAGAGATGACTCATAGGTATTGGTGAATGGGAAGTAAAAGGTTGGAAAATTATGCTCCAATCAAGGGGAAACCAAAGACTAAGCCAGAAGGTGACAACTGAAAAGAAGACATACTCATATCTAACAAAGTAGACTTGAAGGAAAAATTTGTCAGACATGATAAAGAAGAAATAATCCCTGAAAGATATAACAATTACAAATACATGTACTACACACTGACATATTGAATTTTGCAATATAAGCACTATTGCACATAAGGGCCCGATGAGTCCAGATGTTTATAATAATCAGTGACTCAATAACTGTCACCAGATAGATCACTCAGAAAACATCCAACTTTGGGGTTAATTGCACCATAGATCAAATGGACTTCAGAGACATCTACTGAATGTTCTGTCAGAGTGCAAGCTACAGGCTCTTTTCTCAGCATCCCATGGGACCTTCCCTAAAACAGGACACAGTTTAGGCTATAACACACTCTTAGTTATCTTATCATTTCTGTGATAAAAATATGCTGACAAAAACGACTTAAGAGAGATAAGGGTTTACTTTTATTTTGGCTTACAGTTCCAGAGAGCTATAACCCATCTTGACACTAGGAATAAATGGCAGGAGCTAGAAGTATCTCCCACTTATGTTACACTGTGTCCACACTTGAGAAGCAGAGGAAATCTGGAAGTAAGAACAGGTCACAAGCCCTGGATGAAATGACAGACACTGGAGATACACCATGGAGGACCTCACCCTCCTTGGGGATCGGAGTGAAGATTGGTTGGGGGACTGGGGGACCTAGTGGGGAGGGCAGGGGAGGAGGGGAGGGAGAGGGAGCTGGGATTGACATGTGAAACAAACTTTGTTTCTAACCTAAATAAAAAAAAAACAGGAAAAAAAAAGAAGGGTCACAAGACTTCCTCAAGGCAGTTCCTTGTAAGTCACAGCAAGACTTCACCTTTTAAAGATTCTTCCTAAACAGTGCCACCAGCTGGGGACCAAGTGTACACACACACACACACACACACACACACACACACACACACACACACACACACACACGAGCCTATGGGGGACATTTCACATGTAAACTGTAAAAGTCAGTCTTAAATTCACAAGAATGTAATGTGTTTCTTTTGTATTGTCAGATAATAATGGACGAATGGCGGAAGCCATGCTGTCACCCTTGGGTACGGTGCATAGGTGTGTTGCAAGCGGGGCTCCTTAGACAGCAGGCCCTTTGGAGAAACCCATCCATTTGGCAAGGACCTATGGATACAATACTGCTAACTCTTGTGTTACCTTGGGGAGCTCGTGGCTTCAGGTTTCACTAACTTTTGCTATGCTTATTCTTATGGAAACTCTTAGTTTTGCCTTGTTAATCATGATTATGCCTGAGTATACTGGGAACAAAAAGTTTTCACAGAAAAAAACAAATTTCTCTGATGTTGTTGATTCTTGGAAAAGGATTAAAGAGAGATTCTTTGAAATTGCTCATGCTTGAACGCACTAGAACTTGTATAAATAAAGACGGCCTGGTCTAGTCAGGGTTATCAGTTTGAAAGACAGCTGGTGGTCAGATTCCTCCTTTTATACCGACTTCACACATCCTTCCTGCAGCACAATAACCCTGCTGGAGCTGGACTCTGGCAGACTAAAATTAGAAATAAATAGCAAGAGAAACTATAACAATATATGGAAAATGAATAGTACACTCCTGAATGATCAGTGAGTCATTGAGAAATCAGGGAGGCGATTGATGCTTTCTTAGAATAAAACCAGAGTGACAGCACAGCCAGTTACAACCTTTGGGATGAAGTAAAGACACGTTTTTTTGGTTGTTGTTGTTACACATCTGCCTTTATTGTAAACAGTAGGTGGGACACTTGTAGCGATGGTAAAAAAATTAATTTACAAAAGCAGGGGCTCGGTGAAGCTGCCTGGTGGGTACCCTTGAGGACTCCTACACAGATGCCAACCCAGAGCAGAAGGAAGGCTCGCGGAGACTGAGGCCGCCAAGGAGATGAGGAGCTCTTTGTAGATATCACGTGTGTACCTGGTGGAGGTGACCTCATAAAGAAAGAACTAGGCAGTGAAGAACATGTGGATGGCCAGAGTACCACAGTCAGGTGTGGAAGACAGCCGGGTTGACCAGACTGGTGCACCGACTCATGGCCTCCAACTCCATTTTGCCTCACACACCTGATAAAACATGGGTCCACTACCAGAAGATGCAAGGCGATTTCTAGGAAGAAAGCTTGAAACTATGAATGTTTTATATAACAAACAGCAACAAGACATACAATGATTCACCCAATGCTGTAGCCAAAAAAAAAAAAAAAAACCAAAAACCAAAAACAAACAAACAAACAAACAAAAAACGAGAATAGACCAAACACCAAATGAGTAAATGGAAAGAAATAATAAATATCAGGGTAGAAGTTAATGAAATGGAGACTAGAAGGACAACTTAAAGAATCAATGAAAGAAAGAGTTGGTTCTCTGAAAACAGCAATAAAATTGTCAGACAGCCAAGGGAAGCCCAGATGTGAAAGGAAACATTACAATAGACACCAATGAAACCCAGAGGATCATTAAGGAACACTTCCAAAAACATATTCCAAAACATGGAAAAACTAAAAGGAACAGATATGCTCCGAGTCCTGTATGATCTATCAAAAGGACCCACCCAACCCACACAGCTGTGTAAAGACCGATGGGATTGAAACCAGAAGTTTCTCAAGAAAGTAAAGCCATGGTCAAGCGAATTCATTTCCCATTCTACCAGACCTTTGACAAACTCCAATATCTTTTCATGATAAAACTCCAGGAGAATGCTTTAATACAATAAATGAGAACCTTACCACAACATCATACTAAATGAGGAAAAACTCCACGTATTTCCTCTAAAATCAGGACTGAGATGAAGGGATCTACCTTCTCTCCCTTTAGTCAATACATTGATTACTGCTTTAATTTTTAGAACATCAAGGAAACAGGAAGAGGTGAAAGGGTTACAAACAGGAAAGGAAGGAATCAATATTCCTATTTGGAGAAGGCATGATCTAATACTTAAAAGACACTAAAGGCTTCTCTAGAAAACTCTAAGAGTTTTAATACTTTTAGCTAAGTATCAAGATACACAATTGTCCTAGTTAGGGTTACTGTTGCTGTGATGAAACCCCAAGTTGGGAAGAAAAGGGTTCATTTGGCTTACACCTCCACAGCAGTGTTCACCATTGAAAGAAGTCAGGGCAGAACTCAAACAGGGCAGGAACCTGGAGGCAGGAGCTGATGCAGAGGCCATAGAGGAGAGCTGTGTACTGGCTTGCCTCTCTTGGCTTGCTTAACCTGCTTTCTTGTAGAACCCAGGACCACCAGCCCGGGGATGGCTCCACCCTCAATGAGCTGAGTCCTCCCCCTACCAATCACTTAGAAAGTGCCCTAGAGCAGTGGTTCTCAACCATCCTATTGCTGTGCCCCTTTAATACAGTGAGTGTCTCATGTGGTGGTGACCCCCCAACCATAAAATTATTTTCATTTCTACTTCGTAATTGTGATCTTGCTGCTGCTATGAACCATAATGTAAATATCTGTTTTCCAATGGCCTTAGGTAGTACCTGTGAAAAGGGGTTGTCACCCACAGGTTTGCCCACAGCCCATTTTTATTGAGGCATGTTTTAAAAAGGAGGTTCCCTCCTCTCAGATGACTTCAGCTTGCATCAAGTTGACATTAAACTATCCAACACAACTGACCCTTTATCAACTTGACACACAAACACCCTACTGTTCAGCCACAA